CTTTTAAAAAAACCAGCTCTTTGTTTCCTTGATCCTTTGAATTGTTTTTTGTTTTTTTTTTGGTCTCTATGTCATTTATTTCAGCTCTGATCTTTACTATTTCCTTCCTTTTACTTGCTCTGGGGTTTTCTTTTTGTTTGCTTTCTAGTTCTTTAAGTTGTGAGGTTCGATAATCTATTAGAAATTGTTCTTGTTTCCTGAGGTAGACCCGTAGTGCTATGAACTTCCCTCTCAGAACTGCTTTCACTGCATCCCATAGATTTTGTGTTGTGTGTTCATTTTCATTGGTTTCCAGGAAGTTTTTAATTTCTTCCTTGATCTCCTTGGTAACCCATTTATTGTTCAATAACATGCTATTTAGCCTCCATGTGTTCAAATGTCTTTGCATGTTCTTGTTGCAGTTGATTTTTAGTTTCATGCCACTGTGATCTGAGAAGATGCTTGATATGATTTCAATCTTCTTGAACGTGTAGAGACTTAAGTTTGTGTTCTAACATGTGATCTATCTTTGAGAATATCCCATGTGCACTTGAGAAGAATGTGAATTCTGTAGTTTTGGGTGTAATTCTCTATTAAATCCATTTGGTCTAGTGCTTCATTTAGAGTCTCTGTTTCCTTGCTAATTTTTTGTCTACAGGATCTATCCAGTGATATCAGCGGGGTGTTGAAGTCCCCTGCTATGATTGTATTGCTCTCAATTTCTCCTTTGAAGTCCTCCAGAAGATTTTTAATATATTTTGGTGCTCCTATATTGGGTGCACATATGTTTATCAAGGTTATATCTTCCTGTTGGATAGATCCTTTCAATATTATGTAGTGGCCTTCTTTGTCTCTAGTTATGGCCTTCATTTTGAAATCTATTTTATCAGATAGGAGTATTGCTAGCCCAGCTTTTTTTTTTTTTTTTTTTTTCCTGTTTGCTTGAAAGATTTTTTCCATCCCTTCACTTTCAACCTGTGTGAGTCTTTTGTTGTGAGGTGGGTCTCTTGTAAACAACATATATATGAGTCATGCTTTCTTATCCAGTCAGCTACTCTGTGTCTTTTTATTGGAGCATTCAATCTATTCACATTTAAGGTGATTATTGATATGTACTTATTTACTGCCATTTTTGTTTAGTGTGGTTATATTTTTCTTCCTATTTCTTCTACTAATTACAGCTGTCCTTCTAACATTTCTTGTAGTGCTGGTTTGGTGCTAATACAGTCCCTTAGCCTTTTTATGTCTGGGAAGCTCTTTATTTCACCTTGTAATCTGAATGATAGCCTTGCTGGATAGAGTAGTCTTGGAGTCAGATCCTTGTTTTTCATGACTTTGATTACCTCATGCCATTCCCTTCTGGCCTGCAGCGTTTCTGTTGAGAAGTCAACTGAGAGCCTTATGGGGGTTCCTTTGTAGGTAACCTGTTGCTTATCTCTTGCTGCTTTTAGGATTCTCTCTTTGTCTTTAATTTTTGGCATTTTAATTACTATGTGTCTTGGCGTGGGCCTGTTTGGGTTCTTCTTAGTGGGGCTCTCGTGCTTCTTGAACTTTAATGCCTTTTTTCTTCACCAAATTAGGGAAGTTTTCTGTCACTATTTCTTCAAGTATATTCTCTACCCGTTGCTCATTTTCTTCTTCAGGGACTCCTATGATGCGAATATTATTACGTTTCCAGTTGTCCCACAGTTCTCTTAAGCTGTGTTCCTGTTTTTTTAATTGTTTTTTCCTTTTGGTTTTCTGATTGGTTGATTTTTTCTACTCTGTCTTCTAATTCACTGATCCGGTCCTCCGCTTCCTCTACTCTGCTCTTTAGACTTTCCAATGTGTTCTTTATTTCTGCTATGTCATTCTTCATTTCTTCTTGATGGTTTTTAATTTCCAATTGGTTGACTTTCAACGTTTCTATGTCTTTATTCACGGTGTTGATGTCCTTACTCATGCTGTTGAGCTTCCTCAAGATCATGGCTCTGAATTCTAGCTCTGTTAAACTTGCTTAACTGCACCTCATTTATCTCATCTTCGGTAGAGTTCTCTTGTTCTTTCATTTGGCATTGTTTCTTTGTTTCACCATTTTAGCTATCTCGGTGGGCTTTGGAGCCTGCCAAATGTTCCCCGTGGGTGCTGGTGTTCTGTTGTTTGTGGCTCCCTCTACTGGGTTTGGATGAGTGTGGGAGGACCCATGTTAAACACCACTGTCAAGTCTTACTTTCTTGGGTCGAGTTGCAAGCCCAGGAATGGTTCAATTATTGTCTAGCTTTTTGCCTGGAGGCTATTAGTCGTGGTTGCTTGAGGAGCTTGGGTTCTCAGTTGAATGAAAGACTCCTTCAGGTGTTCAGTGTAAGGGGATTTCCCAAGGGTGGGGCAGATGCTGGTTGTTAATGAGCCTCAATTTGCATTTCTTTTTTTTTTTTATCCTCACCCGAGGACATTTTTCCATTTTTTTGTACAGACAGAGTGGAAGGGAGAGAGAGGAAGAGAGAGAGAGAAAACATCGATGTGAAAGGGACACATCGAGTGGCTGCCACCCGCACGACCAACCAGGGCCGGGGACAAACTGCAACCAAGGTACATGCCCTTAGTGGGAACCGAACCCGGGTCTCTCCGGACCGCAGGCAGACGCTCTAACCGCTGAGCCAAACCGGCCAGGGCTCAATTTGCATTTCAATGGCCCACCGGGTAAAGTTGAATCTCCAAGGGAGGGGCCACCACCTCTCCCCAGAGCTCTGGGAAGAAGAAAGATGGCCAGCATTTTGCGTGGCTGCAACTCAGCGAAAGCTTTGAGCGCCTTCCAAATCCCGTGTCCCCACACAGTTCCAGTCTAGTCCGCCCTCCCTCTGCCAGAGCCCAAAGTGAGTGGCTGTGGCTATTTTAGCGCTCTGTCCCGCCTCTCTGCGCTATAGAGCTGCTTGGGACTTTAACCCAAGGGCGCTGCTCACAGTTAAGACTGTTGCTGTCCATGGGCTTCCAGCCCCCTTCTCGTGCCTCTGCAATCCTACCAGGATCGATTCAGTGTCCCTGGTTATACGGTCCTCGCAAGCTGTTTTTCTGTTGCTTTTTCCCGACCATTTGGCTTTATTTTAGTTGTAATTCCAGTTTAGTTCTGGGAAATGGTCTGTATAGCTTCCATTCACTCTGCTACCATTTTGGAATCTTAGTAAAATATTTTTAGGATCTCAGTCTTTTATAAGATCTCAGCTCCAATTCCTAAGCAAAGTCAGGCCTTGAGCTTTATGGCCCTATGTGGTAATACCCATTTGCTATGAAGACGCAAAACACAACAGTTAGCTAGCTCAGACTTACCACTCTGGTTTTTCATTCCCTCTATACACTTAGCCCCTAGGGATTTCCCTAACTTCTTCTGTTCAATTATGCATTTTAAATGATGTATGTTATTTTTCATTCTGTATTTCTTGGTATTTTATATTATGAATGTTTTCAAGTTATCTAGTTAGCAATACTGCTTGAAAAGGAAGTCCTTTTATAGACAAGAAGTAGTAAAGTATCTTTTCTAAGTAATAGGCAGAGTCTGTATTAGAACCTAAGTTTTTTAGTACGCTTGCTTTCACATCATTCTACACTTTTTTTGTTTCAGGTTTCATTAAACAATAATAAGGTTTAAAACCATACAAGTGGGAAAGTATAAAATCTATAATCCAAAGAGGAATAATTTGTAATTATGCATTTTTGAGATGAGCTTTTCTTAGCACTTATCACTAGAAAATGAACTTTAGGCAAAACTTACAGATTCAACAATAAAGGTAAGATTACAATAACTTAAAATGTGACAGTGTTGAAATAATATATACCTATGACTCCATAACCAACAATATACTTTTTTCAATAAGACAAGTTTTTTAAAAGCACATAAAGCTGTTGTTATTTTTTTCTCAGTTCAGCTCATTCAGGGTTCTATTACTAAAAACACCTGGTTTTCTTCTAAAGAAATGTTACTTGGAAGATCTACTTCTCTTCTTGCTCTGAAAGTCTCCTGAACTTCAGAATCCTCTTCAAGTGAATGGAAAGATCCTACTCAGTTTGCTCCTTAAAAAATATTGCCAAATATGCCCTGGCCAGTTTGGTTCAGCGGTTAGAGCATTGGCCTGCGGTCCCGAGAGACCCGGGTTCGGTTCCCGCTAAGGGCGCATACCTCGGTTGCAGTTTGTCCCCGGCCCTGGTTGGTCGTGCGGGTGGCAGCCACTCGACGTGTCCCTTTCACGTCGATGCTTATCTCTCTCTCCCTGTTCCTCTCTCTCCCTCCCACTCTACCTGAACAAAAAATGGAAAAATATCCTCAGGTAAGGATAAAAAAAAAAAATTGCCAAATAAATACACACTTAGCCATATAAATATTGTTATAATATGAATTAATATTAAGGTGTCTTCAAAAGAAGCTAGAATAAATATATAGAGATATGCAAAAGAAAATCATGTTTGCACTTAATAGACTCTGACTCCTCAAAACTTTCACAATAGTTACACTCTGATATACAGTAGCATTCTGTTTTGTTTTTAAAGTTTCGCTTTCTTTTTAAAAAATTAATTTTTAAATTACAGATGTCTCTTCTTTCCCCACCAATGACACCCTCCTTTCCGCTACTACCTGCCCCCCTGCCTTCACTACACTTTTGTCTGTGTCCTTGGTTATGAAGTATCACTTTCTTAATGAGTTTGTATAGCTACTGACTGTATTAGTATCTAAATTTTACTATGACATTCATGTTTACTATTTACAGCAACGATTTTCAACCTTTTCCATCTCATGGCACACATAAGCTAATTGCTAAAATTCTGCAGCACCCCAAAATATATACTATATTTTTGCCAATCTGACAAAAAAAAATAGGTATAATTTTGATTCATTCATACCAGACAGCTCTTGTATTGGCTGTTGTCATTTATTTGACAATCTAAGGGAAAAGAGGTCAGTGCCCTTTGACTACATAGTCAGGTATTACATGTTTTAAAAATTCTTGCAGCACACTGGTTGAAAATCTCTGATCTACAGTAACTAGTCATACCTTCTCTTTCATGTTCTCAAAAGCTCCTCCCTGGGCCAGTACTGTATTGGACTGCAAATCAAAAATGAATCCTGATGAATCTGAAAGAATGAGAAGGAAAAAATACATTCAACAAGATCCCAAACTGACATTTAATCCATCCCCCACAGAGAAGGGCCTTAAATAGTTAACAACTTACTTTGCAAATTCTATTATATAGATAACTGATAACTACACTTGAGTTAAAATTATGAAATAAAATTTGATTCTAATAGAAACTGTCACAGCTTAAGAAAAACACTAAATACATCAACTATAATAAACTGTCCAGTAATCCTTGATATCTTTGTTAACTATTTTATCTTAATTTAAAAGGCCCTCGCCCTGGCCGGTTTGGCTCAGCGGTTAGAGCGTCAGCCTGCGGTCCGGAGAGACCCGGGTTCGGTTCCCGCTAAGGGCATGTACCTCGGTTGCAGTTTGTCCCCGGCCCTGGTCGGTCGTGTGGGTGGCAGCCACTCGATGTGTTCCTTTCATATCGATGTTTCTCTCTCTCTCTGTTCCTCTCTCTCCCTCCCACTCTACCTGAACAAAAAATAGAAAAATGTCCTCAGGTGAGGATAAAAAAAAATAAAAAATAAAAAAAAAATAAAAGACCCTCTATAAATGTTGCAAGTAAATGGCTCCCCAAGGTAAAATTTAACACTAGCAAATCTGAAAATATGAGTGAGGACAAGAGTTTTGTGGCATTAACAATAACAACCAATGAAAGTAATTTCAATCTTCTAGACTGCACCACAAATATGTTTTTAGACTATGAACTCCATGAATACATTCATGTTTGTGTCCCCAATATGCTTGACAAAGCAATGTACCTGAGTTTTCATTACCAGCACAACATGGGAAAACTTAGTTTGATGTGTGTGATTTATTATAGAAAATAGTTTGGCTTTCCTGTATTTATAAAGAAAAGGCTATATTGCCCTGGCCGGTTTGGCTCAGCGGTTAGAGCATCAGCCCGCAAACCAGACAGTCCCAGGTTCGGTTCCTGCTAAAGGCACGTACCTCGGTTACAGTTTGTCCCTGACCCTGCTTGGGGTTGTGCAGGTGGCAACCAGTCGATGTGTCTCTCTCACATCGATATTTCTTTCTCTCTCTCTTCCTCCTTCTCTCCCCCCTGTTCTATCTAAAGATACATGCAAAAATGTCCTCGGGTAAGGATAAAAAAAAAAGAAAGAAAGAAAGAAAGAAAAGAATATCTGCAAATTAAATCAATTTCTTTACCTGAGACTATGTGATCAATAAATTACCTCAGCTTTATTTGTTTTTAGAGAGAGAGAGAAACATCAATTGGTTGCCTCCCGCATAACCCTGACTGGGGCCGGGATTGAATCTGCAACCCAGGTACGTGCCCTTGACCGGGAATCAAACCTGTGACCCTTCGGTCTGCAGGCAACCGAGCCAAACTGACCAGCGCAATTACCTCAGTTTTAAATACTTGACAACTTCATTTTAATCTAATGAGATGCAATCCAGGAAATGGTTAGAATTTCTCAGATTCTGATGTGTATACTTATCTGGTGAATCTTAGTTTAAAATGTAGGTTCTGATTCAGTAGTCTAGCCTGTAGCCTGAGATTTTTACTCCCTGGTGGTATCAACATTGCTGATCCATGCACCATACTTGCTAGTAGCCTAGGGGTTAGAATTTCAACAAAACGAGTAAAAGAGAAAGTTTTGAAAAAAGGGGTTGCTGTAATCTTAATGTTTGTGTCATCCCCTGCCCCTTAATTTATATGTCAAAATCCTAAAGTGATGGTATTAGTAGCTGGGGCCCCTGGAAGGGGCCCCTGAGAGTGGAGCCCTCATGAATGGGATTAGTGCTCTTACAAAAATTATTGCAAAGAGCTCCCTAGCCCCTGCCACCATATTAAGACACAATGAGAAATCTGTGAGCTGGAAAAGGGCCGTTACTCAACCTTGCGGACACTGATATCAGACTTCAAGCCTCTAGAACTGTGAATAATTAATATCTGTTGTTTACAAGCCACCTATTTTGTTATAGCAACCTGAATGGACAGGGGTTTAAAAAATACAGCAATATTCTAGTACATTTTCCAAATTATTTTGCTATTATTACAGATGTGTTTCAATTAAAGCCTCTTTTATAACTCAGTCTTTACCCTGTTTTCTACTACCTCCTAGTTGCTATGGAAGACTGATCATTTGTAAGTTAGCCTGATAACACATTTTGGTACTAAAAGTGGAAAAGAGGATATGAATACAACATACGTCATTCCAAGAGAAACTATGCTTGCCAATTACCAATAAACTGTAAATTCATTTAGGTTTTACCTCTGTAATACTGGCAGTTTTGAGACTGTTGACAAATAAAATTCAAGTTGCACTTACCCAAACTCAGTATTTAAGCCTGAGTTTTCCAGATGATTATATAATATGATTAATTTCCAATTATCTTTAATAATTCAAGAGACACAGTACATAAAGATGAAAATCCTATACAGCCCAAATATAATCCAGCAACCTTCTCAGAATTGCTGTAGGTTAGCCAAATGATACAACTTGAATGTTATAAGTATTCTCTCCCAAAGACATATTAGTGAGCAGTGAGATGATACAAAGGAATTCAATGATTTTATCAGAGAATCAAACCACCAATCTTTTTTAGGGAAAAGAGGGGACACAAAGTGAAGGTGCACTTCAATGTCTGTCTTTAACTGAACTATTAGTATTACTAGCTCCTTATACATCATCTAACACTTTATTTTTTTTGCTTTAACAACACACTAGATGAAACAAAGTGCAAAGCAAACAACGGGTAGTTCTGCAAACACCTTCAGTTATTATCCCCCCCAAAATTAGCACAGTATTATTAGGATTTATCTGGCATACCAATTAGGGTAATGATTTAAAATACATAAAGCGCCCTGGCAGGTTTGGCTCAGTAGTTAGAGCATTGGCCTGTGGTCCAGACAGACCCAGATTCAGTTCCCGCTAAGGGCATGTACCTCGGTTGCCGTTTGTCCCTGGCCCTGGTTGGGTCCTGTGGGTGGCAACCACTAGATGTGTCTCTCTCTCTCTCTCTCCCTCCCACTCTATCTGAACAAAAAATGGAAAAATGTCCTTGGGTAAGGATTAAAAAAAAACAAAAAAACATAAAGCAGCTATTTCAGTCAAGATCCCAGCAGGGAAAAAATGGCAAACTCAAATAGGGAAATCTAAGGAGAGTTTTAATTCTTTTTTTTTATCCTCACCCGAGGACATTTTTTTCTTCTTTTGTTCAGAAAAAGTGGGAGGGGGAGGGATAGAGAGAGAAACATCGACGTGAAAGGGACACATCGAGTGGTTGCCACCCGCACAACCCAACCAGGGCCAGGGACAAACTGCAACCGAGGTACGTGCCTTTAGGGGGAACTGAACCCGGGTCTCTCTGGACCGCAGGCCAATGCTCTAACCGCTGAGCCAAACCGGCCAGGGCTAAGGAGAGTTTTTTAAAAAGACTATATTAGAAGGTGCAAGTAGGGAGTAGGGAAACCACAAGATGTAGTGCAGTTACCCCTTCGCTAATAACAGCAATGGGCATTGCTGCCCTGAGGATTTAAAGAGGTATGAGACAGCAATTACTGGAACCCAGAAACAGAGGGCTTTTTCATCTTTGTTTCATCTGATGTGGTAAGGACCATAGGACAGTAGCTATGACCTTTGGTCAAAGGTCACAGTAAACCCACAGTGACCCTTCAAGGAAAAGATTGGGGGAATAAATATCCCTACCTCACTCTCCTCCTTTCCTAGATCTCCAGCCCATACTGCCCAATGGGCAAACCCAAGCAAAAGCCAGAAAGCAAGAGAGCCATTGAGGGAATATTTATCTTTTAAATTATGAGTTTACCAAAAATGGAAAGCAACAATTTAACATCTTGTCTATTCAGCAGCTAATATTGCCTCTTAAACCAACAATTCAAGTAGATTCAAAACCTTGCATCAAAGAACTAGAGCTTAAGTGCCTCTCAGCATTACATTTTAATTCCCATCAACAATATTTAGTGATTTAACAATTCTCTTATTTATACAGGCAAAAAAAGGCCCAAGATTTACTTAACTTCATTGGTAGGAAATAAGGATCTCATCTTGTGATAGAAGAGCATGTATACTCTATCAGAAGTAAATTTTTAAAAGAGAAAATGCAGTTAAATACTATTATCAGGCAATTCATAAAGGATACAAGAAACCCTTGAGATTGAGTTTTTTTAACACTTTTTTTTTTTCTTGACTGATTTTAGACAGAGAGGAAGGGAGAAGGAGAAAGAGACAGAAACATCAATGAGAGAGAACATCTATTGGCTGCCTCATGAATGCCCCTCACTGGTGATCAGGCCCACAATCTGGGTATGTGCCCTGACTGTGTACATGGGTTGACAACCACTGAGCCACACCAGCTGGGTGAGATTGAGTTTTACTTTTATCATTTATTTCCCTCTGTTGGGAACTATCTCAGAAGTTTCTTGGAATTATTTCAAATAGCACACATTTAGGAACATTTTGGAAAAAGTATATTCTTCACAATATCACTGATATATCTGTAAATACTGCAGGCTTTGTTATTGTTGTTTTTGCTGGCTTCAGAAATCAGGTAACAGTTGTTTTAGGCATTGAGAATGACACAGAAATGTCTGAGTTTATCTCATATATCAAACCAACATTGAACAAGTTTTTACTGAAGTACAATTAACATTTATATAACATTATGTTAGTTTCAAGTGTACAATAATTATTTGATATTTATATATACCCTGTGAAAAGATCACCACAGTAAGTCTAGTTAACAGCATTCACCACACATGGCTACAAATTTTTCTTTTTGTGATGAAATTTACTCATTTATAGCAACTTTCAAATATGCAATACAGTATAATTAACTATAGTCCCCATACTGTACACTACATACTCAGGACTTATTGTATAACCGGAAGTTTGCACCTTTTGACCCTCTTTACCCATTTCGCCCACTACCTTTCTTCTAAAGATCTCAGATTCTTGTTACTACTCACTGATATTCCTTACACATACATTTAAAAAGTTGGGTAACAAAATTATTCACATTTTACCATAGCCAAAGAGAGGTTACAGAGGTAAGATCCAGCCCTGGCCAGTTGGATCAGTGGTTAGAGCGTCGGCCTGCGGTCCAGAGAGATCCGGGTTCGGTTCCCGCTGAGGGCTCGTACCTCGGTTGCCATTTGTCCCTGGCCCTGGTTGGGTTGTGCGGGTGGCAACCACTTGATATGTCACTTTCGTGTCAATGTTTCTCTCTCTCTCTCTCTCTCTCTCTCTCTCTCTCTCTCTCTCCCTCCCTCCCTCCCTCCCTCCCACTCTATCTGAACAAGGTATCAAAAAATATCCTCGGGTGAGGATTAAAAAAAATAAATAAATAAATAATTTTTTTTTTTTTTAAAGAGGTAAGATCCAATTAAATGCAGGTAAGCTCTGAGGTGAGGAATTCTGTCTAAACATAATCTAACAAGTGTGATAATCACCTGTCCTATTTTCTCAAACTGTACAAACTTCCTCTTAAAAATTAAAAAGTAAACTCAAGAGCAGAGGTTATTTAAGTGACAATTCTTGCAGAAGTGGTATCTCATGAACAATTAAACAACCTAAAGTTCTGCTTTAGAGTGGACACAGACAATACTTAACCACCAGTGTCTTCAAATAGCTTTTTCTCATACCAAGTTTGAGAAGTATCCACATATAAGTCACCAATAAAATGACAAGTGGAGTTCAGTTTCTTCATGTGCACTACTAGCAAATATAGGAATGGGGGTTATAGTGTACAAATGTGAGTGAAAAAAAAGTTATTGTCACAGACACTACTAGCTGCTAGCTAAAGCCTAGAGTATATTTACAACTTCAAAATAAATATGCTGCCCTGGCCAGTGTGGCTCAGTTGGTTGAGCATCATCCCATGCACTGAGTGGTCACCAGTTTAATTCCCGTTCAGGGCACATGCCCGAGTTGTGGTCTCGATCCCAGTATACGGGAGACCATAATTGCCAATGATGCATCAGATAAGGGGTTAATTTCCAAAATATATAGAGTGCTCATATAACTCAACAAAAAAAAGACAAAGAACCCAATTAAAAAATGGGCAGAGGAGCTAAATAGTCACCTCTCCAAACAGGACATACAAATGGCCAAGAGACATATGAAGAAATGCTCAACATCACTAATCGTAAGAGAGATGCAAATTAAAACAATGAGGTATCACCTTACACCTGTCAGAATGGCCACCATCAACAAAGCATCAAACAACAAGTGTTGGCGAGAGTGTGGAGAAAAGGGGACTCTAGTACACTGCTGGTGGGAATGCAGACTGATGCAGCCACTATGGAAAACACTATGGTGTTACCTCAAAAAATTAAAAATTGAATTGCCATTTGACCCAGTGATCCCACTTCTAAGAAGCCTGAAACACCAATCAGAAAGAATGTATGTACCCCCATGTTCATAGCAGCACTATTTACAATAACTAAGATCTGGAAACAGCCCAAGCGTCCATCAGTAGACAAATGGATAAAAAAGCTGTGGTACATATACACAATGGAGTACTATGCAGCTGGAAGGAAGGAAGGAAGGAAGGAAGGAAGGAAGGAAGGAAGGAAGGAAGGAAGGAAGGAAGGAAGGGAGAGAGAGAGAGAGAGAGGGAGAGAGAGAGAGAGAGAGAGAGAGAGAAAGAAAGATCTCTTATGCTTTGAGAAGACATGGAAGGACCTGGAAAGTATTATCCTAAGCAAAACAAGCCAAGCAGAAAAAGACAAATATCACATGATTTCACTTATATGTGGAATATAATGAACATAACAGTCTGCAGAACAGGGTAGTGGACAAGAAAACAGGGATGGGGCGGGGAGGGAGGTGGAGGAGGGTGTCAATGGGAGAAAAAGGAGAAACATCTGTAACAAAAATATATAAAATAGCATTTCTTTTATATTTAACGTGTGAGAGCTGTACCTACAGCTTTGTTTTCAATTAAAGAACATTAAATTGAATGAGGGGGGAAAAGCCAGAATTGCTATGGTCACTCTCTTAATAAATATATTCCAGTTGTGTATAACAGTTATAGTGCTATTGTTAAATTTGTTAACATTTTTGCAGCTATTCTAGGAAATGAAAAAGTGACTGTATAGTCTTTGCTGTCCTTCCCCTTATAACTAACTATTCTTGACCTTTCTTGATTCTTTGCACTTTATATTTTATTTTATTTTTTTATCCTCACCCGAGGATATTTTTGCATTTATCTTCAGATAGAGCGGGAAGGAGGGAGGGAGGAAGACAGAGAGAGATACATCGATGTGAGATAGACACATCGAGGGGCTGTCACCCACAGTACCCCAACTAGGGCCGGGGACAAACTGCAACCAAGGTACGTGCCCTTAGTGGGAACCAAAACCAGGACTCTGGGAACCAAAACCAGGACTCTCCGGTCCGCGGGCCGATGCTCTAACCCCTGAGCGAAACCGGCCAGGGATATATTTTATTTTTGAAAAGAAGCTAGAGGAATAATCCTGGAAGGAAAGCTAAAAAAGGAACCAAAATCTAGAAGCATTTACTCTTGCTTCATTTCCTGTCTCCAATGAAACATCAACTCAAAGGATACAGAATATCCTGCAATAAATTATCTCCTACCACTCCCCCTAACATATGTTCACTCTCCAAAAAGTAAATTTTCAAGAGGCATTTGGCTTTCCTGCAAGTGTATTCCAATTTATTAGGTTTATAAGACTAGAAAAACAACTGTTATATGAATTCCCAAGTTAGTAATACACAAAGCTGTAATGTTCTATCTACAGATACTCAGTTAATGAAGTAACAAAGTTATGAATGTTCTGTACTCTTCTAAAATTAATTTCTGTCATAACAAAAAGTTGTAACTATCAGAAATACTGCCAAGGATAGAGGGGAAGTATAACCATTCAAAACACATTACGAGAATTTTTTTAAATCTTCACTTGAGGATATTTTTCCATTTATCTTCAGATAGAATGGGAGGGTGAGGAAGAGAGAGAGAAAGAAAGAGAACGAAAGAGAGAGAGAGAGAAACAGCGACATGAGAAAGACACATTGACTGGTTGCCTCCTGGAGGGCCCGGACCAGGGCTGGGGACCAAAGTACGCGCCCTTGACTGCAATCGAACCCACGACTCTTTGGTCTGCGGGCTGACACTCCAACTGCTGAGCCAAACCAGCCAGGGCAAGAGAATGTTTTTGTTTTGTTTTTTATCCTCACCTGAGAACATTTTTTCGTTTTTTGTTCAGATAGAGAAGGAGGGTGAGAGAGGAAGAGACAGAGAGAGAAACATCGACGTGAAAGGGACACATCTAGTGGTTGCCACCCACACAACACAACCAGGGCTGGGGACAAACGAGGTACGTGCTCTTAGCGGAAACCGAACTTGGGTCTCTTTGGACCACAGGCCAACGCTCTAACTGCTGAGCCAAAACAGCCAGGGCCAAGAGAATGTTTTTTAAAAATATAGATATAGCCAGGCCAGTGTGGCTCAGTGGTTGAGTGTTGACCCATGCACCAAGAAGTCGCCAGTTTGATTCCTGATCAGGGCACACGCCCAGGTTGTGGGCCCGATCTCCAGTGGGGGCCATGCAGGAGGCGTCCAATCGATGTTCTCTCTCATCGATGTTTCTATCTCTCTCTCCCTCTCCCTTCCTCTCTCTCTAAAATCAATAAATAAATATAAAAATACATATAGATATAAATGGAGATCATTATTCCACAATTATGCTTTTAACAATTTATGCCCACATGTAATCTTACCCTTCTGATTTTGTTTCCTAGACATTGTAGTTTCTTTGATCTGGAAAGATACAGAAGGAAAGTATTCTTTTGCCTTGTCTGGGTTTTGATTGTAGTTATCTCTGACTTAAAGGTAGGTAAGAGAAGTCTGTAGCTGGAGGTGATAAACACAAAATCTTGGATATCTAAAATTCTGCTAACTGGTGATCTCCTTTCCTTCTATTAACTTCTTGTCAGGAAAAATCATTGCAGACATTCATGTCTCTTTTTCCAAGAAGATTCTGTAGGGAAACAAAAATATACATATTTACTGTTATAGTAATAGCTATCTGCACAAAATTTCTGAGAGATATCCACAGGTTTTATTTTGTATTTTTCTTTTTTTTTATTTTATTTTATTGTTTTATCCTCACCCGAGGACATTTTCCCATTTTTTGTACAGATAGAGTGGGAGGGAGAGAGAGGAAGAGATAGAGAGAGAGAAACATCGATGTGAAAGGGACACATCGAGTGGCTGCCACTGCACGACCAACCAGGGCCGGGGACAAACTGCAACCGAAGTACGTGCCCTTAGCGGGAACCGAACCCGGGTCTCTCCGGATTGCAGGCCGACGCTCTAACCGCTGAGCCAAACCGGCCAGGGCTATTTTGTATTTTTCTAAACAAACTAGTGATTAGAAGAAAAGTACTCTAAAAAAATAGCTGTAGTCTTGGCCGGTTTGGCTCACCGGTTAGAGCGTCAGCCTGAGGTTCAGAGTGACCGGGTTCGGTTCCCACTAAGGGCATGTACCTAGGTTGCAGTTTGTCCCCAGCCCTGATTGAGTTGTGCGGGTGGCAACCACTCGATGTGTCCTTTTTTTTTTTTTTTTATCCTCACCCAAGGACATTTTTCCATTTTTTGTTTAGGTAGAGTGGGAGAGGGAGGAACAGAGAGAGAGACAGAAACATCGATGTGAAAGGGACACATCGAGTGGCTGCCACCCGCACGACCAACCAGGGCCAGGGACAAACTGCAACCGATGCACGTGCCCTTAGCGGGAACCGAACCCGGCTCTCTCTGGACCGCAGGCCGACGCTCTAACCGCTGAGCCAAACTGGCCAGGGCCGATGTGTCCCTTTCACATCGATGTTTCTCTCTCTCTCTTCCTCTCTCTCCCTCCCACTCTAGCTGATCAAAAAATGAAAAAATAAATGTCCTCGGGTGAGGATTAAAAAAAAAAAATAGCCGTAAAAAGGAATGTTTCGTTCTTTTAGAAACTTTAATATAAAAATCAAACCATCTTCTTAGTTTAGAAAGCATGTTTTCTTCGTCATCTTGTATTTTGTATATATCTCAAATATATTATCTACATCTCTGCTTCACAAACTAAAATATTACCTTTTACCACTCCCTAAAATCTTTCTTACTGCCTGCTTCCTCCTGTCCAAATCATGGGTCTTTTCTCTTCCTCTAGAACTTCCTATTTCTAATCTCTCTTCAGGTTTCCCAGCTCAAATACACCTGGAAAGAAATTTGGGGTGCACCCTAAGAAGCCTGAAACACCAATCAGAAAGAATATATGTACCCCCACATTTGTAGCAGCACTATTTACAATAGCTAAGATCTGGAAACAGCCCAAGTGTCCATCAGTAGACGAATGGATAAAAAAGCTTTGGTACATATACACAATGGAGTACTACGCAGCTATAAGAAAGAAAGACCTCTTATCCTTTGAGACTACATGGAGGGACCTAGAAAGTATCATCCTAAGTGAAACAAGCCAAACAGAGAAAGACAAGTTTCATATGATCTCACTTATTTGTGGAATATACAGTCTGAGGAAGGGGGTAGAGTCCCAGAGACGCGGAAATGGGATACAGACTGACAATCCCCTAAATAGGGGGGTGGTGGGGAAGAGATAAACCACAGAGCTTATATGCATGTATGCATGAACAGTGGACATGGACAACAAACTGGGGAAAGGGCAGGGAGGGAGGGGGAGGGGGGAATCAGTGGGGGAAAAAGGAGAAACATCTGTAACAAAAATTAATTAATAAAAATAAATAAATAAAAGTAAATGAACCAACTCAAAAAAAAAAAATTGGGGGTGCAGGGTAAATGGGGAGTGCACAAAGGAATTTTAATAAGGAAAACTGAAACATCAAAATTTGGATTAGTCCATACTGTAGGAAGTTTCTATAAATTGTAAAGATACAAGTGCTATTTTTTCCACATTACTAAACATTTAAAAAAAATATGCCCCAGATTTCTGGGTAAAGAAAGCACGATGAGGATTACAGAATTTATACCTGGCACTTGATAGAAAAAACATTTTATAAAATGCAATCCAAGAAGGAAATGAAAGTAACCTTATATGAAATACTTTCCAATATGGAAGGAGGAGAATGAAGGGATGAATAGACAACCCTGGGAAAAAATGCTTTTTTGTTTTTTGTTTTAATCCTCACTCGAGAACACTGTTTTCCATTCTTTGTTCAGAGGGGGAGGGAGAGAGAGAGAGAGAGAACCATCAATGTGAAAGAGAAACATCGAGTGGTTGCCACCCGCACAACTCAACCAGGGCCGCACAACTCAACCAGGGCCAGGGACAAACTGCAACCGAGCACATGCCCTTACCGGGAACTTAACCCAGGTCTCTCGGGACCTCAAGCCGATGCAATAACTGCTGAGCCAAACCAGACAGTTCAGAAAAAATGTTTTTTAATCTATCAACAGTAAGAGTCTCACCCTGTGCACTGAAGGGTCTCTGGTTGGATTCCTGGTAAGGGCACATACCCAGATTTTGTGTTCAATCCCTAGTTGGCACATACTCAGATTGTGGTTTCAATCCCCAGTAGGGGCACACACAGGAAGCAACCGATCAATGTTTCTTTCTTTCCTTCCCCGTCTCCCTTCCTCTCTCTCTCTAGAATCAATGGGGAAAAAAAAAAGTCCTCAGGTGAGGACTAAAAAATAGTAATAATAAATAATAAATAAATAAATAATTTTTAAAATAGTAAGAGCCTCGTCCCGGCCAGTTTGACTCAGCTGTTAGAGCATCAGCCTGCAGACCAATGAGTTGTGGGTTCAATTCTGGTCAAGGGCATGTACCTTGAGGTACAAAGGGTTGTGGTTTGATCCCCCGCCCTGGTCAGGGTCGTTCGGGAGGCAGCCAATCGATGTGTCTCTCTCACATCGATGTTTCTCTCTGTCTCCCCCTCTCACTCTATCTGAAAAATCAATGGAAAAATATCCTCAGGTGAGGATTAAAAAAAAAAAGTAAGAGCCTCTACAAATCACTATGGGACCTGAGGAAAGACAGCCTGAACCTCTGAGGCTTACCATCTTTCAGAGCATTGAGCCAAATTGGGAAAGTCAGACAAAGCCTCTGGAAATACATGGAATTTACCAGTGGATAGAGTGGGCCTGATACAAAACATTTTATGAGATTTTAGAAGAAAAAAATTCAGATCTTTAAGACAAAACATATTAGCAAGAGACAGAGCTATATCATTATAATAAAAAGGTCATCACATCCCTGCTCTGGAGAGAGGGTGTCCCTCTAAGAATGAACATGGGGAATTTTCTGAGGGGTAAAATGTTCTATATCTTGATCTGGGTGTTACTTATATGGGTGCACACATATATACTTATGCACTCTTTAAGATCTGTGCATTTTACTATACATAAAGTATAACTAAAAAACTTTTTAATATTTTCTGCAAAAACTAAGGGGAAAAAAACAAAGGATACTCTTGGCCAAGCTGCTTGTTTGTACATAAGAAACCATTCAGTCAAGCATTTTTTTCAAAATGGGACCAACACGTACGCAATACTTCTTTGTATTGATGAGATTAAAATCTGAATTAAACTGGTAATCAATGGATGGATGGATTTAAAAAGAAAATAAAAATTATTAAACCCGTATTAATTTGTTGCTGCTTATTAAGTAGTAAAGCAAATTCAAAATGGTCAGTCTAGGATTAGTTACTTCTGTGAACTAGAGCTTAAAGCTAAGAAAACCGATGAACCCCATTCCATCTTCAGTTAGTTTTGCTCTAAAGAAGTCCATGGTCACAGACTTCACCCCTAGTACCAGGTATACAAACATATGCTGCTGGTTCCTAGGCACCCTGAGCCTGAGGTATAGCTTGATGACTCTCAAGGTGGGCAAATGAAAAAAGGATGGTTATGTAGTTTTAAAACCTATTGCTTTAATTTATTGTTAATTGTTATATTTATCTTTTCATTTCAAATCACAACAAAAGAGGGCATAAGGTATGTGTGTGTGTGTATATGTGTATATATACGTGTGTGTGTGTGTGTGTGTGTGTGTGTGTATAAAGAGATGAGAAAGAGAGGAAGTAGAAGAGAGGTTACCAGTAGCTAGGGGCAGTAGAAAAGAGACAGTTATTGTTTAATGAGTACAAAGTTTTTGTTGGGGATGATGAAAAGATTTGGGTATAGAGAATGATGATGGTTATACAATACTGTGAATGTATATAATGCCACTGATTTGTATACTTATGAATGGCTAAAATGATATTATGTTATGTATAATGTTTTTAAATTTCAGGAATAGATCTTGAATAGCCAAAAATAATCTTGAAAAAGAACAAAGTTGGAGGCCTGATACCTCCTAATTTCAAAACACATTACAAAACTACAGTAATAAAAACAGTGTAGTACTGGCATAAAGAGAGGCATTTAGTGTGATGGAATTGAAGAGAGAGCCTGGAAATAAACTCTCACATATACAAATGATTTTTTACAAGGGCACCAAGACCACTCACTCAATGGGGAAGGGACAATCCTTCAACAAATGGTGCTGGGAGACAACAGTATGGTGGTTACCAGAGGGAAAATGGGAGGATGAAGAGGGTAAAGAGGGCCAAATATATGGTGATGTGGAGACTAGACTTTTGAGGGGTGAGTGCACAATGCAATATACAGATTATGTATTATAGAATTGTACACTTGAAACTTATATAATGTATTAATTAACCAGCGTCACCCCAATAAATTTAATTTTAAAAAGCAGTGTTGGGAAAATGAGATGTCCACATGCAAAAGAATAAAGTTGAGCCCTGGCCGGTTTGGCTCAGCGGTTAGAGCGTTGGCCTGTGGTCCAGAGAGACCCGGGTTCAGTTCCTGCTAAGGGCACGTACCTCGGTTGCAGTTTGTTCCCAGCCCTGGTTGGGTCATGTGGGTGGCAACCACTAGATGTGTCCCTTTCACATCGATGTGTCTCTGTCTCTCTCTCTCTCTCTCTCTCTCTCTCTCTCTCTCTCTCCTTCCCACTCTATCTGAGCAAAAAATTGAAAAATGTCCTTGGGTGAGGATTAAAAAAAAAAAAAAGAATGAAGTTTCCTTACATCATATAAAAATTAACTCAAGATGGATTAAAGGCCTAAACATAAGACCTAAACCTCTTAGAAAACAAAGAGGAAAAGCTTTATGACATTGGATGTGGCAATGATTTCTTGGATAGGACACCAAAGCACAGTCAAAGAAGGCAAATATAGACAAATGGGACTACGTGAAACTTAAAAACTTCTATACATCAAAGAAGATAATCAACAGAGTGAAAAGGCAATGAAATGAAATGAAAGAAATGAAAGAAATGGAATGAAAGAAAATATGTGCAAGCCATTTATTTGATAAGTGGTTAATATCCAGAATATATAAGAACTCCTCCAACTTAACAACAAAAAAATAACAGTTTAAAAACTGGCAAAGGACTTGAATAGCTATTTCCCAAAGAAGATATACATGGCCAACAAGCATATGAAAAAATGATTAATACCTCTTATTAAATACAAATCAAAACCACAATGAGGTATCATCTCAGAACCATTAGGATGGCTGCCAGAAAAAAAAAATGCGTTGGAGAGGATATGGTGAAATTGGAACCCATGTGCACTGTTGGTGGGAATGTAAAATGGTGCAGCTACTATGGAAAACAATATGAAAGTTCCTCAAAAAATTCAAAATAGAACTTCCATATGATCCAGCAATCCCACTTCTGGGTCTATATCCAAAAGAAATGAAAGCAGCATATCGTATACCCATGTTCATTGTAGCACTCTTCGTATCAGAGAAGAGGTAGAAACAACACTCAATGTCCAGTTACAGATGATTAGATAAACAAAATGTAGAATATACGTACAACAAGATATTATTCAGCTTTTAAAAAGAAGGGAATACTGACACATGCAACAACATGGATGAATCTCGAGGACATTATGCTAAATAAAATGCCAATCACAAAAAATATTACTATATGATTCCACTTACATGAGAAATCTAAAGTAGTCAAATTCATAGAAACAGAAAAGTAGAATGGTAGATGCCTGGGGCCGAAGGGAGGGGAAAATGGGGTACTGTTATTTAATAGGTACAGAGTTTCAGTATTGCAAGGTGAAAAAGTTCTGAAGAGCTGTTGAATAATTATGTAAATATACTTAACACTACTGACCTGTACAATTAAAAGCTGTTAAGCCCTGGCCGGTTGCTCAGTGGTTAGAGCGTCAGCCGCAGACTAGAGAGTCCCAGGTTCTGTTCCCACAAAGGGCACGTACCTCGGCTGCGGTTTGTCCCTGGCCCCAGTTGGGGTTGTGCAGGTGGCAACCAGTTGATGTGTCTCTCTCACATCAATGTTTCTCCCTCTCTCCCGCCCACTCTATCTGAAGATACATGCAAAAATGTCCTCGAGTGAGGATTACAAAAAAAAAAAAAAGCTGTTAAGATAGTAATTTTTATGAGTTCTTTTACAATTTAAAATTGTTAAATCATTTTTATTTTATTATTATTTTTTAATCCTCACCCGAGGATATGTTTTTCATTGATTAGAAAAAGAGAGAAACATCAATATGAGAGGGAAACATTGATCAGTTGCCTCCTGTATGTGCCCCATCCAGGGATCAAACCTACAACTTAGGTATGTGCCCTGACCAGAAACTGAACCTGCAAACTTTCATTGTACAGGACAATGCTCCAAGTGACTGAGCTAACCGGGAAGGCTTAAATTCTCTTTTTTTTAACTTTCGGAAATATACTGATTTGGAAAAAAAGAAATGAGAAATGTTCCATCACCACTAGTGGAGGAAAACCAAACCAAAGCATATTCTCTACTGAGGTTGAATATATCATTAATACAGATGCAGTGTAGCAGCGTGGTTAAGTGAGGTCTTTAGGCCAGACTGACTGAGTTTCCATCCCAGCTCTATCACCTCTTAGCTGAATGACTTCAAGCAAGCTACTTACCTTCCCTGTGTCTCAGTTTCTCCATCTGTAAAATGCAAATAATGCTAGCATCTTCCTCACAAGGTTGTTATATGGTTTAAATGAGTTCATACAGATGTAGCACTTAGAAAAATGTCTGACACTTATTGACAACTACTCAATAAACAATGGCTGATATTAACTGAATGAAAGATGGGTCCCCTAAAACTAAAAGGCTCCAAAAATCATAGATTATTCATGTTATTTAACAAACAAATGGGAACTTTACCAAGACTATGCGTTACCAGCAATAGGTCATGATAGAGCTTGAGAGAGGCAACTCCATTAAATTTAGATGATGTGTAATTACAAAATCGAATGAATCAAGGCACTCTAAAGATAGAGAGTATAATTTTCAAGTCTTGGAGTATATAACTTTTCACATTGGCATGCATTATAAGGACCTCACTCACACACTAACAAATAATTAATTGGGCTATTCACAAAGGTACTTGCAGTTACTTTAAATTTAAAATACAGATTGTTATAAAATCTACCTATCTATAGAACCAGTGAAAAAGAGGGGATGGGTTAGGAGGGCAGAAAACTAAATTTTCATCTTCCATAATAGGATTGCGCCTGAAAAGATTAAACAGTCACTTTCACCATGTTATTCAGAAATACGGATATTAAGACTAGAAGAAATATTTATGGTTACCCATGGAGAGATAGAATAGGGAATTGGGGAAGAGGTGCGCAGAGGACTGTTTTTAAAATAAATTATTATAAGCCTTATGATATAATTTGACTTCTAATACTGTGTATGTGTATATTTAGACTGAAAATACTTTTATCTATTTTATGCAAATTAAAACTACTAAGACACCATTTTTTACCCTCTCACTGGGAAATATCCAAAATGATTATACATACTAGTAGTAAGGCTGTGGAAAAACAGGCATCCTATTTAAGTGAGAGTATAAATTTGTATACCTATGGAAAACAGCTAGACATTAGTTACCAAAATTAAAAATGTATATTGTTTGACCCAGCAAGAAAATTTCTAGAAACTTACCCTACAAACATATTTGAAAACATGTGAACTAAAGTGTTCAAAGTTATCCAATATATTATTTATAAGAGCAAAAGACTAGAAACAACCTAATTGTACATCAACAGGATGCTAATTTAATAAATGATGGTTCATCCTTACGAGATACTTTGCAAATATTTTTTTAGAAAAGAGGAAGTTTTTTGTATATTGATATAGTAAGATATAAATTTAAATAAATATGAGGGAGAAGAATATAGTTATACTCACTTGTATACACATAAATATTGTACATCTGGAAGGATAAAAAATCAGCAATAGTGATGATCCGCTGAGGAATGGAAATTGAAAAAACAGGAACTTCAGATAAGAAAGACTTTTCAATCTACCTTTTTTTTTTTTTACATTGGAACTGTATAAACAGCTTATCTGTTAAAAATTTTTTAATATTTTTTTTACAGGCTCCTTCCCAATAAATTAAATCAAAGCTAATAACCCTCCACTGAATCTAAATAATATTTATTCCAACTTAGAAACCCAATCGGCAGGTTCAAGAAATGTGTCAATAAGAACCTATAAAATGCAAACTCTCTAGACCTGTAGAATAATAACCAAAAACAAGAAAATGCGAAGTTCCAAAATAAAAACATGTTTTCTGATTTTAGAGTTTTGGTTGTAAGAAAGCAACCAAGAGTTCTTATTCCACAATATCATCAGTTTGCCAATAAATATCATTCTCATTAGCTTTATAAAGGAATATAAAAAAGGACAGACCCAAACTAATTCATTGATATATTCTAAAAAGTAATTAGGAACAAAAAGGATGATTTCCTTAGGTCAAAAAGGGATATGTGAGCCTTTCCAAAGTCTTTTTTCTCAACAAATGTCTTTACTCATTGGCATTTTCTGATACACATGCCACTCTAATCTAAAAACTCTCCCATAATTACAAGGTCTGATCACTATAAACTTTATTTTGAAAAATAAAATTTTCATTTAGAAAAACCAATAAATTCTTTAAAAAATATTTTTTTATTGATTTTTAGTGACAGAGGGAGAGGGAGAGAGAGAAAAACATCAATGTGATTGGCTGCCACCTGCACACCCCCCACCAGGAATCAAGCCTGCAACCCAGGCACATGCCCTGACTGGGAATCCATCCAGAGACTTTTTAATGCCTAGAATGACGCCCAACCAACACCAATGAGCCACAATGGCCAGGGCAATAAATTCTTTTTTATTAATAAAAACCTCTAATTGAAACACCATAAAATCGGAAATTGGAACAAAAAATATTCTGAAAATTTTAAATATGACCTAAGTGCAAAATCAGAAACCATGTGATAACACAACTCTTCTTTACTACTATTAAAAGACACAGGACCAGCCCTGGCCAGTATGGCTCAGTTGGTTGGGCAACCTCCTGTCACCAGGAGGTTGCTGGTTCGATTGCTGGTCAAGGGCACATGCCTGGGTTGCAGGCTCAATTCTAGGTAGGGGGCGTGCAGGAGGTAGTAGATCAGTGTTGCACTCTCACATCGATAGATACCTTTCTCTATAGATACCTTTCTCTCTCTCTCCCCCTCTCCCTTCTCTCTCTTAAAATCAATGAACTATTCTTAAAAAAAAAAATAAAGAAAGACACAGGACCCTCCAAATTGCTTAATATTATTCCTCAGTGGCAGTTGTTAAGTGTGGCAGTAGAGGGACTCAAAAGAAGCAGAGTAGGAATACATATGTTTGTCTCTTTCTATTTTACTGCTAGCTGGGTAGTTAGACTTGTCTGTATCCTCCTCTTCATGCAGGTGGCTGTATCCCAAATCCAATCAAGCCAAATTATCCTCAACTATATAAATTCTTCAATAATTGTTAGACAATAATGATTATTTCATCCCCACCCCCATAAACACATATATAAACTCCATTCCTCCCATCTCCCCAAAGCACAGATGCATAGCAACTCAAGGGAATAGAGACAGCTATTAGGCAAAAACAAAACAAGGCAATTAAAAGCAACTTTATTCATGGATTCCAATCCATAAAGGAAGATTCCATGCACATAGAAAGTGATTTCTAACACCCCTGCTAACTTAATAAACATTATTAACTGTTCAACTAAGTATTTAATGTGAATCTACTATGTACCAATCAATACTTGTGGTAAAAATTATCAGTTTTGCCCTGGCTGGTTTGGCTCGGCAGTTGGAGTGTTGGCCTGCGGACCAGAGAATCCTGAGTTCAGTTCCCGCTAGGGGCACGTACCAAAAAAAAAAAAAAAATTATGAACTTTGCCCTGGCCAGTTGGGCTCAGCGGTTAGGATATTGGCCCACAGACCAAAGGGTCGCAGGTTCAAATCTGGTGAAGGGCATGTGCCTGGATTGCAGGTTTCCCAGCCCGACCAGGGCTGTGTGAGAGGTAACGAATAGATGTGGTTCTTTCAACATCGATGTCTCTCTCTCTCTCGCTACTGCCCTCCCTTCCATTCTCTCTAAAAAATAAAACATCAATAGGGAAAACATTATGAGCTTTTCTGTCTGGCCACAGCCATCAGGTAAGCCAAGATAGGCACTTACAAGTACATTCAGAGGCTATGGAGAAAGAAGCAGTCCGATGTAATGCACTTTCTTCTCAGGACGTGCTGCTGGCATTAACGCCAGCTCTGTGCACTCCACAGGACCCACCACGTTCACCTGGCCCAATAAAGCTGATAGGCCAGCATACAAGGTCAAGTAAGGTTATGGGCATATATCAAATTCATGTGTGCTGTGGTGGCCACAAACACCCAGTTGCTAAGGACACAACTTACAGCAAGTCTGTACATCATGGTGTTAACCAGTTAAAGTTTACTTAAAGCTTTCAGTCTGCTGCAGAGGAGCAAGCTGGATGCCACTGTGGGGCTCTGAGAGTTCTGAATTCTTACTGGGTTGAAGATTTCACATACAAATTCTTTGAGGTTACTTCATTAATCCATTCCATAAGGCTATCAGAAGGAATCCTGACACCCAATGGATCACCAAACCAGTCCACAAGCACAGGGAGAGGGGAGGGCTGACACATGCAGGCCACAAGAGCAATGACCTTAGGACCAAAAGTTCTACCACATTATTTGGTGGTTCTCGCTGTGCAGCTTGGAAAAGATGCAATGCTCTCCAGCTCTGCCGTAACTGATGACATAATGTTTATAAAATTCTTACCTAATAAACAACTTAGAACTATCAAAATACTTTGAAATACAGACTACTATTCAGCCTTAAAAAAAAATAAGGAAATTCTGAGACATGCTAAAACATGGATAAACCTTGAGGACATACTAAGCGAAAAGAGTCAGTCACAAAAACACAAATAATGTATGATTCCACTTATATGAGGTATTTAGAGTAGTCAAATTTATACAGACAAAGTAGAATGGTAGTTGCCAAGGGTTGTGGGGTAAGGAGAATGAGGAATTAAGTGTTTAATGGGTACAGAGTTTCAGCTTGGGAAGATTAACATAACATAATGTGAATGTACTCAATGTTACTGAACACTTTTAATGGTTTAAATGGTCAGTTTTATGTCGTGCATTTTACCATAATTTTTAAATTTTTTAATGCAATAAGATAAAGAAATATGAAAGAAAAAAGTGATTTCTTGGCCTAGCAAAAAATCCTTAGAAATACTAATCAACAACACCAAAAAAATTAAGCACAAATACCAATATCAAGATTTTTTTTGAAAGAACCAGTATAGCCCTGGCCGGTTTGGCTCAGCGGTTAGAGCGCCCGCCTGCGGTCCGGAGAGACCCGGGTTCGGTTCCCGCTAAGGGCACGTACCTCGGTTGCAGTTTGTCCCCGGCCCTGGTTGGTCGTGCGGGTGGCAGCCACTCGATGTGTCCCTTTCACATCGATGTTTCTCTCTCTCTCTCTGTTCCTCTCTCTCCCTCCCACTCTGTCTGAACAAAGAATGGAAAAATGTCCTCGGGTGAGGATAAAAAAAAAAAAGAAAGAACCAGTATAGATCTTACAAAAATGTAATACAGACATACAGACATTATGTAAAAACTGAATAGACACACACAAAAATAGAAAATCTAAATAGCCCTATATCTCTAAATGTAATTGAGGTTATAATTTAAAATTCTCTCATAATGAAAACTATCTCATCTCTAATCTGGTACCTCTGCTGGCAGGAGTGTAAACTGGTACCTCTTTGAAGTATAGGCATTATTTTGTAAAGTAAAACATTTTCAATCCTATGACCCAGAAATTACATTCCTAAGCACCTAAAGAAATTCTTTGCTCATGATACACACAAAAGAAATTCTTGCTCATGGTACACACAAAAACACAGATAGTTCATTCATAACAGTAAGAAATGGAAATAATCAAAATGTTGACAGGAAAATGAATAAATTGTGATATGTTCACTAACTGTAGTATTATACTGCAGAGAAAATGAATCAAGTACAACTATATGTGACAATATGGATAAATCTTAGCAATATGATGTTAAGCATTAAAAAAAGAAAGAAAAATCAATTTTCAGATTACATACAGCATACCTTTTTTAAAAAATTCATATACAATGAACACTAAACAATATATTATTTAGACACAATATATCTGATAAAACTATTATTTGAAAAGGCAATAAAAGAGTAAAAAATAAATTTAGAATAGCATTTACCTTGAAAGTCAAGGGGACATTAGAGAGGAGAATATGTAAGATGTTGTCATTATTCAATATTAAACTTCTTAGGTTAGATGGCATTTTCATAAAATTTCTACATATTTTTCAAAACCAAATACACAAAATAAAATGGCAAAATAAGTAAGTACATAATAAAGTTTGGTTTTTTTTTTTTAATCCTCACCAGAGGACATTTTTGCATAGAACAAGAGGGAGAGAGAGAGGAAGAGAGAGAGAAAGAAACATCGATGTGAGAGAGACACATTGACTGGCTGCCACCCACACAACCCCAACCGGGGCGGGGACAAACTGCAACCGAGGCACGTGCCCTTAGTGGGACCCGAACCCAGGTTTCTCTGGACTGTGGGCCAACGCTCTAACCGCTAAGCCAAACCAGCCAGGGCCATAATAAAGTTTTTAAAAAGTGCCATTGGTAAATGTGGAGTAAATGAATCTCACATTTACTAGTGGATCATAAGCATATCCTATGACCCAATGCCCCACTCCAAAGTATATGCTCAACAAAAATGTATGTATATGTACACTAAAGACATGTATAAGAACCCTGGCCAGTTTGGCTCAGCAGTTAGAGCACTGGCCCGCGGACTGGAGAGTTCCGGGTTTGGTTCCCACTAAGGGCACATACCTTGGTTGTAGTTTGTCC